TAAAATAAATGTGACAAATTGTTCATATGTCCTTGTCCTTCATATATCCTTTAATTCACATCATATTAAGCTCAGATATTCAAACTAATGAAAAACACGCTCCATTAGGCCAGTGCTTCATGATGAGGAAGAGCTTAAGAAACACTAAAATGTAATCAATTGTTCCTTGGCTCAAAGCCTGGCCACCAACTTTCATAGAATCCACTCATGGGATTCCAGGAGATCCTGCTGACTAACGCACAAAGACCGTTTAATGAAGTTAGTGAGGCAAACACAAAAAGCTCTCTGTAACTCAGACTGTGTCTGGTTATAGTTAAAGGGGATACCGAGAAGAGAAGACAACCTTTTCCTTTTTTATAACAGAGTGGTATCCTCTCCAAAGTAACTAATTTCATTTCCTGATAGTTAATTATGCTGTACTTCCTTTGAGAAAAGTCCTGTTTAAATCTGACCTTCAAAGGTCTCGTGAAAGGGGGTGAGTTACTTTGCTTATTTGTTAACTATATTAACAAAAAAAACAGACCTGTGCGCTGTCAGGCTTTCCCAGAAAGTGATGCTCCCGTCAGTACCACGGGTCAGGACCCAGGCATGTGGCACTCCTTTGGCTTTGGTGCCCACGCACACGTATGCATCCATGCCAAAACCCAGCTGGAGGCTGCACAGCAGGGTGGCGTGATCCTCACAGTCCCCCTGTGGAGGACAGAGGGTTATGCTGGGATCTGTTGGGTAGTTTAAAGTGAACTAAATATCTTCATCACATTAGTCCGTTGTTTGTTGTGTTTTAAGAGAAATGTTAATTTTTGTCGTCTGGTTCAGTTAGGTCATATGTCTAAGGCAGAGTTATTGGCAGTACTTTTAATCCTGTTGTGACTTCTCAAAACAAAGAGCCTCCAGCACGCTCCCCTCTCAGAAGATCATGAGATGTAGTTGAAATCACAGAAAGCCAGTGAGATTAAAGATTTAAGCTTTAATCTCGAAGTATTATGAACAACATTTTACTGCTTTAAATCTGAGATGTTACAACTGTTTTCTCAGAGTATCGTAACATTAATTTTATTCCCAAAAATGTACCTTTACTCTTAAAATATTAAAACCTTTTCCCTTTAACACCTTGCAACCTTTCAGCTTTATTCTCAACAAATTTTAACTATTTTGTCAAACAACCTTAAGACTTGATTTTAAAACATTAAAGCTATAAAAATATTGTGGCTTTAAACCCAAACAATACTAATTTAATTCCAAATCATTGAAGCTTTGATTCCAACATATTATAATATCTAATTCTTCTTGAATCTTTTTGTTTTCATAGAAGAAGAAAATAAATATTTTTTTATTTATGACTGTTTTTCTTAAGATTTTTCTGTTTTTGTATTTGTTGCCATTTAAATTTCCCACATGATGCGAGCAGCTGCAGGGAATTTATTGCCATGCAAGTTCCTGCTTCGATTTAACGACACATTCAGTGCCTCTTGTAGTTCCTGTTTCAGGTTAACAGCACATCATGATGATGTCAGGATCCACTGACAGAATGCTTCAGATTTTTGGGAGATAACTTAGAGAAGAAAAAACAAAGAGGTGGAGCATGTTGGGCATATAGGAGTTGATAAAAAAGGATCATGAAATGCATTTTTGTTTATTTTATTAATCTAAAAGACATTTCAAATAATTATCTTTGTTATTTAATCCAATCCAAGTCCCACAAACTCCCGTTCATTGAAGCTAATCTCACGAGCGTCTCTGGCAGCCAACTTGATTACAGCCTTGTAAAGTCCTTGTTATGCATTTAAATTCAGCTCGGTGATAGCTTGGTTTCTTCATTCCCACCAGCATTTACACTCTGCTGGAATCTCCTACAGCAGAACAAGTGTAGGTGTGGCCTAAACTCACATTGGCTGCATGTGGCTAATTTTATGCTGATATTTAAGCAGACAGAATTCTGTTTTCACACCGACCTTGCCTAATTCCTCATGTCAGTACAAGAGTCTCTTCAAACAAAACACAATATCTTGTTCTCGCTACACTGTTAGCCTTTCTCAGAAGTACCCAATTCAAACAAGAAGCCTCCTGGAGAGGAAATAAGCTCTGGAGTCATTAAATTGTCCATGACAGTAAGCAACTCTTGTTTCATTCGTACAAGTTTTCCTGTAAAGAAGCCTGGGTTGAGCTGGGGACTGTTGCTGCTGCGCGCTGGCTCGGGCTACGGGCAAGTCAGAATGATAGATGTTCCCCAGAAGTGCTAATATGGACGGCAGCATCGGAACAGGCTGAGCAGGACTGATGAGGCTAAATTAATTTTCCCTCAAATGAAACTCATAAATCACAGCTGACAAGGGCCACTTTGTGAGAGTTGTGTTGTGTCTGTCTTGCCAGCCGCTCACACAGAGAAGAGGCAGGGAACATTTATCCTGTGGTGGTCTGGGAAATTCCCCGCTATCTAGTCGAGAAATGAGAATGCAGCAGTCAGTCAACTGTGCACAAATCCTTCTTTCTCAGAAACCACACAGTCAGCCTTACTCGGAAATGCGGTTAGCGTAAACGTGGCCAAACCAAGCTCTGTGATTGTGGAACAAAACTTTACTTTTAGGGGCCAACACAACGCAAACCTGTGACTTCACTGAAAATCTACAGTGTAGCCAGAGGAAGATGACTGAGATCACGTGAGGCTAGGTTGTTTGTGTGTGTGTGCGTGTGTGTGTGCGTGCAACTGTATTAATTCTATTCACTTGAAAGTGCTCAATCCAGCTCCTTAATTTAATACTTGTATTTTACTTAACTAGCTTCAAAAGCCACAAGGTGAAAGTGTCAAAAACATTTGGAACAACACAAATGTTTATGTTTGGTTTGGTACTATTGCTGTCCCACAAGTCCATCAATCTTTTTCCACTTATCATGTCGCCAGTCTAACCCAGAGACAACCATCCAAACAATCACCAATTACCCTAACACCACTAACTAGAAGCCCGAGTCCCCACATAGTTGCAGGGAGAAAATACAAACTGCACACAGAAAGGATCCATTGATCGTGGATTCAAACTCAGAACCATCTTGCTGTGGGGCAACAGTGCTAACCACCATACCATGCATTAGGACAGACGTTCCCAAAGTGTGGGGCCCGCCCCCTAGGGGGGGCGCAGAGCCATTGCAGGGGGGGCAAAAAGGCTCTGCGGGGAAAAAAACAAACAAAAAAACAATGCTGCTAGCATGGGGCGCCTACACAAACGCAAAGCAGGAGATGAAGCATCGCTGAATATGTTTCCAAATCAACTTCATTCTAAGCCAAAGACTAGAAAATATAGCGAAGCATATCTTCCCTTTGGTTTCACCTGCACAAGTGCCGAGGTAGGTCTCCCTGCAGAATTGGTTTTCCCTTTGTCGGGAGCACACGCTGGGCTGTTCAAATCACGGACAAACAGGATCCCACATTCTTGATTTTTAGTTCACAAACACTTGTTGTAATGACTAACTACTCCTGACATGTTGGAGATGTTAGCTCTTTATACAGTAAAGTTACAGCAGGATACAAATAACATCAGGCTGATCCTGCCAGGATTTGTTCCCCCTGTCTAAATCACGGACAAACAGTATCCCACAGTTGTTCATGTTTTTAAACCCATTTTGCACAGAGAGGCATTTTTTTTTTAAAAATGTATTGATAGCAATGTTGAATATTATTACACAGGAAAAAAACAACTACATGTAAAATAATCACACCGTGACGCCTCTGCCTTTCTAAATAGACAGTAACTGCGTGTTTATATGTAAGCGTGTAAAACCTGAAGATAGAGACAAAATACTGTTAATCTGACTATCTGCCATTCTGCAATTCCTCTCATGTAAACAATAACGTGGCGCACAGCTGACGTGAAAAAAGGCACATGAACTCTATTCCTCGTCCACACGTAAACGCAAAAAATTAGTTTTAAAAAATCTCCATTTTCGCCGTTTATGTGTGGACGAAACAGCTACGTTTTCAAAAATACCCGTGTAGGTGTGGACGTAGTGTAAATTAGTTAGAAGTTTATTTTCTTAGATTACTTGTTTTTGCTTAATTGTTTACTAAATGTTTGAGGTGTGAAATAAACCGCAATTGAGCAAAATATGGGTGTGTGTGGTTGGAGGATGTGTTAGTGCGTGCGTGTGTGTGCGCGCGTGCGGGGGGGGGCGCAAACATTTTTCTGTAAAACAAAGGGGGGCCCAGCGAAAAAAGTTTGGGAACCACTGCATTAGGACAAAACTCCTAATATACTAAGATATTTTGTAGTGAAGTGGAACAGTGTGAAAAACAGTGCAAAATTATCCAAGACAATGTCTATGTGCCTTTTTCATCACTGATCATCTCCTTTACTAGAATTTATGCTTCAGTGGGAAATCTAAGCAGCAGCTATGTCGTAAGGGCAAAACCCCTCTGAAACCTTACGCCATAACCTGACATCCACTTTCCTAGAAACACAACTACACATCGGGCTGTCGCAGCCTGACAACTATGATCGACCTGCTCAGTACCGTTAAATCCTCCTGTACATTTCAAGCTACTTTTTCACTGCACCTCTTGGATTTGTCAGTGAGAAAAATAAAGATCATCCCGTCAGTATAAGGACTAATAATCATAGCATCAACAAAGGAACCCACAAATGTCAGCAAATTCCTAAAGGGACGCTGTTGAAACTATGGAAGGGGACATGAGGGAATAACATGAGGGGCAAATAGATTTACACCAACTACACTGACCACAAAAAAAGAGTGAGGACCCAGAAGAGAAAAAATTCCCAACGTTTTATTTGTTTCTATCGGCTGGGACTGCATATGAAATACAGCGAGAGGACAACGCATATAAAACACATAATGCACCTGCACAACATCATCCACTTTGTGGGTTATGAAGAGGTTCCTCACACAAGCCTAAAATCAGGCCTTACAGTGAGCTCCACTGTTGTTCCCCTTCCTTTTCAGCCGATTGCTTTCTACTTAACATCGTCACAGCAGAGCTATACTGTTTGTTTTTTTGGAGGTCTCAATTTAACAGACGGATGCAGGACATTATCAGCTGCTATGTTGTGGATAAAAACCTGTCCTGCCAAAGATATGTGAACTCGTGATTTGCTTCACTGTGCTGAAAAAGAAGTCTGACATTTTGATGCATCAGTATGTGATTTACATGAAACAATGCATCCCCTTTTGAAGCATTCATTTGTCATTTTTATCAGCTGAAACACAGTCTGTGTTTGCATCAGCAAGCTCTTGAATAGCAGCCGAGTGATACCATCGTTTGCATGGTGGCGCACTGTTTTTAGATCTAGACTTTGCCTTGGACTTGCTTGAAGATAACTTGGAGTAAACATTAACTAAAGCCCAAAACATAATAGTACAGCTAGAACTTTAGGAACTGTCTCGCTTGACTTGTCGCATCACATCCCAGGATTTATTTAGTGTTTAATGGCTTTTCTACTTCATGAGATCTGAGTACAGTCCCAGTGAGTGGCAGATAAGAAAAAAGTAACATATCAGTTTACTGGAACTTTGGTAACAGATGTAATTATCTGCCATTGTTTTGATCTGTGACAATAAGAGATCTAACAGTACAGAGGATGCACCGTCTTGGAAAATGAATCATTCCTACTCTGAGGCTGCCAAGTGGCCGAGAACCTCTCCTTACCTTCCCTCGACACAGGAAAGCCATTAATGTGCACCACTGCTCCTGCTTGCCTCCTCCTCCCACCACCGGAGCCTTCTCGTGGGCTAGAAGGCTGACGAAGCGGGCCGCCTGCCGAGGGCTCTCCAGGAGGCGGCCCGCCCGGAGGACACGTACGTAGGAGCAAACTGGCCTGTTGACGCCATTCTCATCCTGCAGAGTGTGCAGACACACACCCAGAGGAAAGGAAAGGCCAAGAAGGTGACATGAAATATTTGGTGAACTGGTTTTGATGTTAATAGAATGAACACAGATGCTTCCTTTTAAAAACACAAATCAACCAATGAAGTGATAAAAATGCGCGGGGTGGGGGTGTCAATACGATAGACAAACCTGTGCAAAAATCTTGACCAGCTTGGTCTGATTTGACGGACGGATCTCCAGGAACTCCCTCCACCACTGTTTGGCATAAACCAAGAAGAGCCTCTCCTTCTCGGCCGCCCTCTGCCTCTCCAGTGATTGCTAAATGAAAAACACAGTGACATCACTCCCTCACAACAAAGGCTGTGATGTTTCTTTTACAGCCTCTTTATCTCCACTCTGAGGACGACTGATTCTTAAAAAGCATTAATGGGATTCTGTTGTAATGAGTCACTGGTAATTCACGGAGATTGATTTATGAATAATGAAACAGAGGAATAAATAGATGCTGACCTGTGTGCTGATGATGTCAGCACTCAGAATCTCTGGGAGAGGAGGGTAGAGCTCCAGGCTGACCGTCAAAACACCAGCCGGGACTTTGGATTCACTTCCTGGTGACAAACACACTCTTTACTGAAAGATGTGGCCAGAAAAACAAGAAAAAAGCAAAATTGCCAGATTTGTAATTTGTAAAGTCAAAGTTTTATCATTAAATGTAAGATTAAATGACCCGTACGTTTCTAAGTACTTATACTTATCCCAGTAGGGAGCAAGATTTCTGTAAAAAAACCCAATCAAATTAAATGTTTTAAGAAAAGTAAACTTATCAGACATTACCAATCAAATGTTCTTCAAGTTTTCCAAAGGTTTTTGTGTTTCCAGACCTTTCTTTCAGCATGAGTGCTACACAAACTACACTGGCTTATATATACACATTAGGACAGTACTTGGGGTGCTAATTCTGGAGGGCTTGTGTTCCCGCACAGCAGAGACCTAGTCATAAAATCCATCTAAAGACTCAAATCTTGAAGCATGATTAAATAAATGAAGCATTCAGTTAAAAACTCTGCTGTCTTAAAAAGTTACTAAGTGGCAATAGTAACATCAGATTATTATTACTGGAAAACACGGATATCATTACATGAATGCACAACAAACCACGCTTATTCTGTGCAACTGTGCCCCATGAGACGCAGGAATAGGGGGCAGTTTCTAAGTCCCTTTTAAATATTGACCCCATGTAAATCGTGTTTCTGTAGGTGTACCACCACCATTATTCAATTTTAAAATGTGTCATTGCATTGATTTAGCTCTCTGCCACTTTTACACTGTATTATTCTTTTTCCACATCATAGCTCCACTACAGCGAGCCATGAAGGAGTGACTCTGAGAAGTCAGACTGGCAGATTAGTAATTGGGGTGTCTGCAGACATTGAATTTTGAGTCCAAGTCTAAGGGTAATGTATCACAGGAGGAACAACAGAATGTTACCATACTGATATTATGTCCCACCCTTACTATATCCTATGTAATTGCAATTATATAGCCTACGCTCCATTATAAACTACTCAAAAAATTACAAGAACGTTTTAATTAGTATAGCATCAAGTGAGTTCAACCTTCAGGATATTGATGTTGTCAGTTAAGTAGCAGAGGAGATTGTTCATTAGTTTCAGCTGCTTTGATGCTACTGAAATTAACACGTGCACTGGAGGGGCAGCAGTGAGACAACCCCCAAAATAGGAATAATTTTACAGGTATAATCCACTGACATGTTTTCCCTCCTCATCTTTTTTTGACTGTTATTCACTGGTTTTGCTTTGGTTAGTGTCAGTGTCACTGCTGCACGAGGTGATACCTGGACCCTACAGAGGTCGCAGTTAGTCCAACTCCTCAAGAATGGCACATCAATAACCCCTGCCAGGATTTCTGTGTCTCCCAGCATAGTCTCAAGAGCACGGAAGACATTCCAGGACACAGGCAGTTACTCTAAGACAGCTGGACATCCTTAGATCCTTAACCCATCAGCATGACGGTATCTGCTCCTTTATGCAAGGAGGAACAGGATGAGCACTCCAGAACTACAAAATTATCTTTAGCAGGTCACTAATGGCCCCTGTGTTTTTCACAGATGACACCAGGTTCACCCTGAGTACATGTGACAGATGCAAAGGGGTTTGGAGAATGATACTACCTGTAACATAATTCGGCATGACTGGTTTGGTGGTCAGTGAGTGATGGTCAGGGGAGGCATATCTTCACAGACCTCTACAGGCTAGGCAACGGAACCCTGACTGCCATTAGATATCAGGATGAAATCACTGGACCCAGTGTCAGACCCCACACTGGTGATCCATGACCCACAGTGGGTCATGGATTCCGCCTGGTGCAACACAATGCCCAGCCTCATGGGGTGAGAGCATGCAGGCTGGAGGACGAAGGAATTTATACCACTGACTGGCCCCTCCGCTCAACTAAATCCAATAGAGCACCTCACCCCAGAGCACTGCCGCATCATTTTTTCACTTTTATTGTGGGAGTGTCTTTGAATTCAGCACTTTGTAGGTTGATCATTTTCATTTCCAACCAACACATTAACCGGTCTATACAGCTAGATATCCAGCATGATTTTTTGACTTCTGCTTGTGTTTTTCAAAAATAAAATCAAAAGAACCCTTCATTAGAAACTCTTTGTGCAGAGAGAGTTTGTTGCTCACCAACTCCCATCAGCTCTACAGCAAAGCAGGTCTTGCTACTGGGCGAGCTTAGGACAGTCCTCCAGTCCAGGAAGTAGGATGAGACAAGCATTGTTTCACTGGAGGTGTCTGTTTTTATCAGCACAAAGTGCACTGGGTCACACATTGACAGCATGGAGGTCGCATCTGCCATCTTACCACTTTCCCCTGGAATACAAAAATTGTAAAATTATACTCTGTACATAGATGGTTTATTAAGTAATACAATAAGAACAGTATTTGTGACACAAACAGTGGTGGTTAACACACACCTATACCGTCTCTGTGGATTTCTAACAGGAAGCCCTCCTTGAGGTCAGGTTCACAGGCACAGGGCACTGGCTTTGATCGAAACCTCTGGTTGCGGAAGTGCAGGTAGAGTGTGAAGGTAGAACACACCTGACCAGGTAAGGGATCCGGCTCCTGGAGATGCTCCAAAAAGGCTTTGCCTCCAAGCACCTGGAGATACAGACATCGCCTTGATGGGTCGATATTGGCTGAGAAGAGAAAAGCAGAAGAGGAATAATATTATGCAAAACAGTCTATGCGTCACATTATTATTTGCTTGGTTTGCAAATAATGTTTCTTACTTTTTTTCAGATGAGTGATATCTTTATCGACAAAGTGAGCAGCAGGTTTTGTAGGCGATCCTGTTTCTGCTTCTGTGCCGGCTTCCTACCACGCCAAAACGACACGACAGAACAGTCAGAAAAGATGGGACAGAACTGACACACTGGATTACAGATATGTTTAATCCATACTGAAGGCAAACTTTGAAAGTAAAACGTAGCTATCAAGGGGATCAATACATTGTAAATGTTCAATTTTTGAATGGATGGAATGAAAAATACGTCTATATTAAAAACCAATCGGGAAAATAGGTCTGAAACTGCATCCAAAAAGCTGGGCAACCTGAGTAAAGTGAAGATCTTTCATCATATCATCTATGATGCCTCTGCGCTGCAGAGCACGCAGGAAATCTGCCTCAGACAGAGACCGACGTGCTGGGCCTTCATCATCCCTCACAGTCTCAGCCAGCACCTCTCGGATCTTCCCATGGATATCCATCTGACAAACAGAAGAACAAAATTCCTTCACCTACTTAAAAAATGTGTTTGTGCTTTCTAAACATCCTCTAAAAACAGTCCTTTCCCATTTAAGCTCTGACTTTGGGAAGTGTGAATATGAAGGCAAACCCATCAGGAAATGTTTTATATCAGTAGACCTATAAGTACCGTCTATTCGGTGCATTATTGATGCGAAATATTTTCTCATTCATTACTTTTTTTCCATTTACTTTTTTAAAATCAATTTTCATTCAAATCAGCAATAAATGTACGATCGAAAATATAGGATCGAAATTGGTCTTGTGTGCTGTGTGAATTTGTACTTTATCTGCTTATAGAGGCTTGACAGGTAGCTCATATTGACAGGAAAACAGCAGGGGTTCCCTACGGTGCTTTAAATAATACTGTATAAAGAAATGGTGCAGCCAATCTTACCAACTAGGTGATAATATGTGATTTCTCTGTGATGTGCAAATGCAAGGAAATAGCCATTTATGACATTAAAAAAAAATCTATTTGCCCACTATAAACAGCTAGCTTCCCCCCTTCATGAAAAATACCCGTGTATTTGTATGCTACTTAAGGACTTCAGCATTCAACTGTACACTGTGTACAACACGAATTGCCATAAAATCTATATAGTTTCCTCACCTTGAGCAGATGGTTGTGAATGATTTGCTTCAGCTCGGAAGCTTTCTCTGGAGGCAGCGACATTATTGCTATTATTTGTGCTTTTTAGGCTAAGCTAACTAGCCAGACTTAGACATGGGTAGTGGTAGAAACATTAAATAACGCCGTTTCTTCTTATATGAGCTATAATGGAACGTTGTACGGATCCGCCATTATTCGCAGAAATTTTCTTTTCTGACAGCAACAACTGCCAGTTTAAACAGTGGCGGAAAAGCGAGCGGGAAGGTTTCTCCGCTGATGCCCGACACCATACTCCGGAAAAAATCAATACCTCGACAATTTTGCTCTAAAGTTACTGGATTTATAAGAATCGACATATAAACCACGATATAAGTATTTTTGGTGGTATATTTATTGTAGTTTTAGTTATTTTTGCTCACCAATTATTCCCCATTTTATTCAGGGATATTTTTACGTACCCCAATCGCATCACGAATTGCGACGACATGAGAAAGACCCTTGAATTGTAGTTTAAATTATAGCTATTTCTTATGTGTAGCTTTTTCATGTGGTATCGCTTTCTTACCAAGACATGACATAAATGGATCAAAGTATGTATATCGTGTATATTCGGTGTGCATAACCTGCTTTCGACAAAGGAATAAACATTTAAATGCAACTTTGTAAGATTAAATGACCCGTACGTTTCTAAGTACTTATAATTATCCTAGCAGGGAGCAAAATCTCTGTAAAAAAAAAAAAATCAATCAAATTAAATGTTTTAAGAAAAGTAAAGTTATGGTGAATATGGTTGCATTATTTCTTGACCTATTGTTTAAATTCTGTTAATGAGTAGAGAGTGTCACTCGGGAGGGGGCTTCAATGGATGAAGAAAGGTGAAGAAAACAGATGTACAAAGAGGAGTTGGGCCTGTAAGGTTTTAAGTTGTATGTGAGACTGAATACTAATGGATGACAAAACGACCGATTGGCTAGGCAGAGAGATCGAGCTGGGAAGCATGTGTAGCAGGTTAGAGTGATTCAGGACAGATTTAGAAATATGCTAACAAGTGAAGAAATGGAGTTGAGAAGACTGAAGGAGTACTTTGAGGAGCAGATGAATGAAGAAAATGAGAGAGAAAGGAGGATGGATGGAGGACAGTGAATCAGGAAGAGCCAAGGATTGGTAAGGAGGATGGGAGGGCAGCTGTAAGGGGATGCAGAGTGGAAAGGCAGTTGGACACCATACCTGTGGAGGTATGGAGATGTCTAGGAGAAAGTGGACTTTTTAACCAGATTGCTTAACACAAGAACAAGGGTGGGGAAGAACAAGGGTGATGTGTAGAGCTATAGTAACTACAGAGGGATAAAGCTGATGGGGCCATTACCATGAAGATATGAGAAAGAGTTGCTGAAGCTAAGTTAATATAGGTGATGATCAGCGAGCATCAGTATGGCCTCATTCAGGGAAAGAGCACTACAGATGTGATGTTATGTTAAAGAGTAATCATTGAGAAGCATAGAGGTCAGAAGGAGCTTCACTGTGCCTTTGTGGATCCAGAGAAACAGCGCCAAGAGAGGAACTGTGGTACTGTATGAGGAAGTCAAGAGGGCCAGAGAAGTGTGTGTGTAGTGCAGGACATGTATGAGGACAATGAGACAGTGGTGATGCATGCAGTAGGAGTTACAAACGATCAAGGATCTGCTCTGTGCCCCTTCTTGTTTGCAGCGGCGATGGGCATATATTGACAGTTGAGGTCAGGCAGGAGTCTCCACGGATTATGATGTTTGCAGATGACACTGATCTGTAGTGTGATTGGGAAGCAGGTGGACCAGAGCCCACAGAGGTAGTGGTATGCACTGTAGAGGATTAAAGTCAACAGGAGTAACACAAAATAAAAGTGCGAATGAGAGGGAAACGGGTGGAAAGATGACCGTATCGTAGTAGAGAGAGTGAAAATACAGTGCAGAGGAGAGGTGAGGAACAGAGTGCAGGCAGGGTAGAAGATAAATGTCATCAGCGGTGAAAGGACAGCAACAACACTGAAAGTGAGGTTTATATATTGTCTCTTTGAGATGGTGGCACAGACAAAAAGGAAGCTAGAGCAGAAGATCTCCGAGGAGGTTCATGGGTGTACGGAAGGAGGAGATGCAGAGGATTGGTGTGACAGAGCAGGATGCTAGACAGTGTGAGACGGAGGCAGATGATTCACTGTGGCGACTTCTAAAACGACCAGAATTAGGAGGAGCTGTACGATATAACGACAAAGAAGAGATCGAGCCAACATCATACAGACAAGCTGAAATAAGTGCAAAGGCACAAAATACATTCAACACAAACCACACACAAAACACACACAGTCCCAGACAAGAGAAAATGAAATTACTACAGCAGTCAATGTGAGCATGGCCTCTTCTTGAAATATTGAATCAATTCCTGGAATCCACAGTGAGAGGTCTCCAGTCTGTCTGCATTGATTTAGCTCATGGTCAGAATGAAATTATGAGTAACAGCACAGAAAGTGGGTGGGATGGGAAGAGCTGTGGGTAAGCTGCTTTACGGATACAGAATTAAAGAACAGGCAAGCAAAGTTTTGTTTATAAAAAAAAAGAAAAGAAAAAAAAAGAATATTTTATTTTTTATGAAGTATTTAATGTTTTTGTTGTGGTTTTGTCATTTTTCTCATCAAAAGTCTTCTGTCATGTTCCACACTGCAGCTCAACAGTGTACAAAACTCCCCTGAAAACTGTACACAGAAAACAATAAATGAATGGAATGTTACACTATATTATTGTTAAATAAGAAAATAACAATAATAATAAAATAAAAGCCATGTTCTACGGTAGCCAATCAAAAATTTCACTTTAGGAGTCGATACATGCTAAAGACACATTCAATGTTCAATCAACTCAGACGCATGTTACTGTACACCACCTCTAATCTGGTCATTGCAGTGCAAACATGTTACTCACATTATGTGTGACACGACAATTTTCTGTACTGATCACACACACACCAAAAAAAAAAACAAAAAACAAAAAACATTCTGGGAGCGCACTTTTTCTGCCTCCTTTCCGCATTTAACACATTTCAAGGCACATTAAAAGCTTTATCAACCACCCCACAAGGACATCGCTCTCTTCTAAATTTAATCCAAGGTGCTCTCCTTCAGCTTCTAAATTGCACTATTGTAGCTTTGGATTGGTCCCAGTCAATTGAAAACCGAATCGGCGATCATGTGGGTTCAAAACACGGACAGAATGTAGAACGGTACTAGCATCATTTTGTAATACAGGTGTCAGTTATGACAGAGAGATTCAACAGAATATACATTCGACATGAGGGGAGTATGCGAGGGGTCATCATCAGGAGCTTGTCTGACTGTTATCTTCCTAAAAACAGGCTTTGGTTTCTTAAAATAAACAACAACAAAAAAAACAAAAACAGCGTGATCACCTGAACATACACAGACCAACCCATCCAGTGGGTAAATAACTTGCTAAGGGGCAACGTTTATGATCCATGTGGCAGCTAACAAAGGCAGGCAAAAAAAAAAAGTGTGCACATAACAGAAAATGACCACTCTAGCCGAGTCTGAAACATTGGCAAGGAAGCTCCCTATGAAGTGTCAACTCACACAAAAATATTCTTCTGGCCGTGTTGGGATGCCCTGCTAAATGTGAATGGAAGAACAAGTGGTGGTCTGGAAAACCGCAGAACGCATGCATTTCATTATATTACATTAAAACTAAAGAAAAGTAAAATCCTACAGCTGAATCTTGGCTCTGGAGTTTTCCTACAAGTCTACAGTAGGATGAACAAGTCAACACAAGTCATTCTGAAATGCGAAATGTAAAACGTGTTGATCGACACATATCTGACTATTACAAATAAAGAATGTAAAAATAAACCTGTCACTATATATTTCTCTTTGTACTGCACCTTTAGTAAGTTTCTGCAAAGCCATTTTTGCTATGATACAGTACATTCATGAGCAGTGACAAGAAGGAAAGGAAATTAAATGATCGTGCTGGCACCGAGATCCTGAGATGTTACTATTTTTTTGTTTCGATCTTACATGAAAAATATACAGACGCTCGTTTGATCTAGCGCTCCCGCATTTTGACCTTGAGAAATAAATACCCTCAATTCTGCACATATTACTGTCTAAGTCTACGTCGAGAAGAAGTACCTAATCTCAGGTACCGGTGCAAAATAGGAGTCAGTTTTAAGTGACCCGCAGTGCTTCACTGGGAATACATCCAGTACAGCAGGCCCATGGCCAAGACAGCCCCGGCGCCGGCGCCGACATTGAACAGGATGGGTCTCCAGTACTGCCACTTCTCCTGTTTCCTCTCAGACTCTGTCAGTCTCTGTTTCATTTGTTGGACCCTCTGTGCTGTGCTGGCAATCCTTTCCTCACGGTGTCGCTTTCGGACCCTGAAACAGACAGAGAGTGTACAGCAGTCCAACAATAAACAACAGGGTAATGCTCACTTGAATCCCCACACATTGTGTCACTGCTGTACCAAAGCTTTACTACAAAGATGGGCAAATAAAAGGGTGAAACCTGATTTCTATGTGCTCAAAAAGATAAACTGAATCCCAGCGCATGGATGGAAACAACAACAGACTTCAACGCTTAATTTTTAATCTGCCAAACTTCAGTTCTGTTACTTACTGCCCAGAAATTTCTGCCTTATTGTGATCTTGGGCTTCGTCTGGCTCTCCTGCAAGCCCGTCTCCTGAGGGGGCCTGAGACTCTAGGTGGGGTCCGTTGGGTCTGCTGTCGTTAAGGTGAGGTCTAGGTGGAGGTGGTGGAGGGGGTAGATCTGGCTCCAGGTCATCTCTGGACAGCTGTGTCAGCTTGTTCTAACAAAGAGGATGACATGCAGAGACAACCAAGAAGGAAAATTTCAGTGTACTGTCAGCTTATGACAGAGAGGAAGAGAATAGTGATCCTTTTCCAAAATAAAAGCTTAAATTCCTGATTTTTAAATATGTTGCCTCACATTCTCATCATTTAGTTTGCAAGTGGCAAAACTAAAATTCTGGTAAAGAAAGGGCACCTGCAAGATGCAAATGATCAAAGAGCATCTGTATAATCATTACATAACAAGTGTGAGGATCTAGTTAGTTTGTCAAGTGAGTCGGCCATTATTTTGACAGTTACCTTATAAATTAAAGAGGCCCTATTCTTTGTTATGGGAAAGCACCCACACACCACTTTAATTAGACACTTTCTGATGGCTCTGAAGAAAGACTCCA